CTCCCCCATTCTCTGCTCCCCACAGCTCTTCTTTGGGAGGGGGTGGGAGCCCCTGGGCGTGGGGGGGAGGGGCTTTACAATTCAGCAGGGGCGGGGCGCTCATGGTGCGTGTGTTCACCGTGCTCGGCTGGGGTTGTGTGTTTGCTAGCAGCTGCTTTAGGCAGTGAGATGTGCTGGGTCACCGCCACATTCGTAGTAGGAGTCAGAGCCAGCACTCCCCCACCCCCACCCCTAACCCAGGAGCTGGACAGGGGACTGAGCTGGGGCGGGGGATGTTTACAGGGGGCTGTGTGGATGTTTCCTGCCCTGAGGAATCCAGGGGCAGGAGGGGCAGGAGAGAGGGGGTGCTCACAGTGACAGAGTCCCATGGCCTGGGACCTGGGAGATCCCCAGCAGCTCCGGGCCCTGCCTATCCCAGTTATCCATTAACCCCAGTTAATATCAACTCCTCAGAGACACTGTTTGTTTACATGCCATGCTGGATTCACGCCCTGCAATTAATTAAAAGGAGCTATCAACAATACCCGTGCGTCCCACTTCCTAGCCAGGTTCCCCTTCCTGGAGAGAACCCAGGCCTGCTGGCTCCCAGCGTCCCCGGCTCTAGCCCAGAGGCCAGAAGAAAAATAAGAAAATACTCTCGCTTGGATCATCAATCAATTATTTTATTGAACAGGTAGCTAACGTCACTGCCCCGGGGGGTGCCAGACCCACCAGCGAAGGGAGGGGGTGCAGGATGTTGTGCGAGGGAGATCTCAGCTCTGCGACCAGACCTGGGACAGACCCACAGTGGCCAGTGTGTGTTGTACGTGAGCCTGCTAAGCACCCATCCCCACCCGCCTGGAGGATAACAGCCCTACTGCCGCTGCAAAGGGCACGCTGCCTTTGGATCCCACCAGCTCTTCACAGTGGTGCTAGAGGTCTGGCCTCCAAACCCTGCTCAGTAACCCAAGTGGTGGACAGACTTCGTTGTTCCCTGGAAAATGGGGGGGTCGGCTTTAGGTCCCTTGGAAGGGACGGCGCTTCGGGTAAAATGGGCAGGGCTAGGGGTTAGCCTCCCCAGACAGCCCAGACATATTGCATGGGGCTCCAGCAGCAATTTAAAAGACCCAGGGCTGTGTCTGCAGCTACTACCACAGTAGTGGCAGTGGCAACCAGAGCCCCTTGGGGCAGCTGCCCGTTTGCCCCCCCTCCTCACAACCCCCCGCCTCCACCAGTCAGAAGCCCTAGACCCAGCCATGCCGCTTAGGCAGAGCGTTCTGTATTGATGGTGCAGGTCCAAAGTCCAAATCCTTCCTGTCTGCATGGCAGATAACAGCCTTACTACTGCCGCCAGCTCACAGCACCGCTGCTTCAGCTCAAGCACTAGCTTTCTGGGCTGTGGCTTCTTGCGTTCCAAACCCACCGAGACACTAACTACATTTCCACAGAGGCCACCACACGCTAATACCAGGGGCCAAGGAAGAGGCGCTCTCTCGAGTTCACCAAGGGCAAACTCAGGCCTCACAGGGCCTGGCCCTTGTTTCTCTCCCACTAAAAAGCTCTCCCCGAACCAGACAGAGCTCAGCCCAGCCTGTTTCTCCTCCCTGAATCAACCCCCGTGTGGTTCCTCCTGTGCAGTTATGGCCTGTAGTTACTCACTTGCCCGTGGGCCCAGCCATGGAGAAGGAAAGAGCAGGAGTGGGTGGAGGGCGCCAGGATGACCCTCCAGCTGAAATAGGTCCCTATTTGGCCACCATGGCAACCCTGCCCTGGAGAGAGGCTGGATTCTTGTGGAAGGAAGTTGGGTCACCCACTCCAAAGCTGACTTCGGACAAAGTCTGGGGGATGCTTGACCAGAGTTTTGCTTGCGGCCCGGCAGTGGCAAAGGAAGGCCTTGGTCACCATGGTGACCCCAACCTCCGCTTGACCATAGTCTCCTGAAGCCTGGTTTGGCCAACGACTCTGAAGCTCGCGTAGGCCAAAGCCCTGTGGAAGTTGGGCACCAGCTCCAAGCCCAGCTGCATGCTGGCGTCTAGGAGGTGCAGGGAAGGACAGAGGATGCCGTCCCCGGCACAAGGGCAGGATCTCTTGCTCCTGTGGCGCCCGGGACAAGAAAGAGCAGAGGGGAGGTCTCATCTGGAAAGTCACGTCGAGGATTCCTCCGCCTCGTCCACGCTGGGACCCTCACTTTTCCTACCCCCTTCCCTGCAGCGAGCCAAGCAGGGGAGATGGCACCGGGCCATGAGGGCGCTGAGTTTGTGCCTCATGCCGGACAGGCAGTCGGCAAAGGCATGTTGGACAGCGGTGGAGGAGAAGTAGAAGATGGCGGGGTCCAAGGAGGCATTGAGGGTGGTGAGGAGAAGAGCGTAAACCCTCCAGGGGGGGCTCTCGTTCTGCACAAAGCCCACCACATGGGACAGGTTGTAGGGGGCGAAGCAGACTATGAAGTTGACCAAGGTGGCCACCGCCAGGCCCACGGCGCGCCGCTTCCTCCGGGCCGGGATGTTGGGCAAGGCCAGCAGGATGCGGACAAAGTTAACGTAGCAGAAGACGGTGACGGTGAAGGGGATGCAGAAGAGGACCAGGAAGAGCTCCAGCCGGAAAGGCATCAGGATCTGGAGCTGCGGACAGGAGAAAGTGTCATAGCAGTGGGATTTATTGAGTGTTGGCGTGGTCCCATTGAGCCGCTGGTCATACCTCTGGATAATGTAGACGATGCTGCAGTGGCTGCAGGCCACTGCCCAAAAGATCAGAGAGGCGGCAACGGCATAGGCTGGCCGGCGTCGGAGCTTGTACTTGATGGGGAAGGCCACCCCCAAGTAGCGCTCGATGCTGATGGCCATGAGGAAGAGGGAGCTGATGTAGATGCTGCTGTAGTAGATGAAGTTGGTGAGCAGGCAGATGAACTTGGGCAAGGGCCACTGCATGTTGTAGGCGGCCTCCACCATCTTGAGGGGGAGGAAGACGAGGAGGACGATGTCGGAGACGGTGAGGTTGAGCAGAATGATGTCGACAGGGGCAGGTTTCTGGCGGACCTTCACCAGGAAGGTGTAGAAGGCCAGGAGGTTGGACGGGAGGCCGATCAGGAAGGTGAAGATGTAGACGGTGAGAACCAGCGGGATGGAAATGGTCGAGCTCATCTTCTCTTCTTCTGCAAAGGAGAACGAACTCGTCAGCTGCTGAAGGAACCCAGGAGTCCTGGTGCCAGCCCCTCCCCCCTCCAGCCCATTAGATCCCACGCCCCTCCCAGAACTGGCCATAGAACCCAGGAGTTCTGGCTGCAGACTTCACTGTCCCCACTAGCCCCCCTTGTCCCCCCTGTTGTGTGGATAAAATCCAGGGGGTCCACGCTCCCTTTACCCGCAGCCATGTGAGCCAGCTCCGGCCTCCCGGTGCATTAGCTGATGCTA